TCAGAGCACATCTACACTTCCAATTCCTAACAGCCCTTTCCTCACTGTCTTTTGACTTTCTTTTTCCTCTGTAACATGTACTCCCTTCCAATATAAGAATAGGTTGCTAATTTACTGTGTCTGTTCTTGCCTCATTAAACATGATCTTCATAAGGCAGTGGTTTTTGTTTTGCTTAATAATTGGGGGACACACACATGCACCCACACATGCACATGCACATACACTTCCCAGTGAAGTATCCTTTGTGCCATGAGCAGTGCCTGGTCCACAGTAAATGTTCAGTAACTATTTCAGGATTGATAGTGGAAGGGTTTGAGGTCCTAAAAATGTTCTCAGATAGACTGCAGTGGTGGCTGCACATGTCTGTGAATATACCAAAAACTACTTGGTCGTAGACTTGAGATGGGTGCATCATATGGTACACACACTATATCTTAATAAAACTGAAAAAGAAATATTTGGTAAATGGCTTTTTGCCTGAAAAGTATTTTGGTAAAATGCATTAACTATCAGTAAATTAAGGGGCATTGTGGGAAAGTGCCAGCCCTTAGATGTTACTGGCAGGAAATGGAGTAAAATACTTTCTTTTTCACTAGTCTAATTATAGCTTGCGAAGGTGGGTGATTTTCATCTGGGGCCCTCGGCCGGGTTCAAATTGTTTTCCTGTCAAACGTTCTTCTAGGTGGTATAGCACTGGTCTGTGCGTTGCTGTACAGAGGTAACTCGTGGTTGCTCTGATGCTGAAGCCTGTGACAGTGATGTGCCAATCGTGGTAATGGGCACCCATGGTGGACAGTGTTGGCTGGAGCTTCCCGACTAAATCAAGCCTGGAAGCAGGAGCGGCATCCACTTCCGAAATGGCTTGCCTCTGGAAACTCTATGTACGAACAGTGCTCAGGCCGTTCGTTCATAGGGTCGCTATGCGTCGTCTACGACTCAACGGCACCAAACAACAACAAACAATTATAGCCTGGATCAGAACATACATGAACAGCTTGTTGTGGAAGATTGTAATTAGAGACTTTCCAGTGATGATGATAATAATAATAGCAATGATAACGATCTTTTATGGAATATTTATTATCTGCCAAACATGTACTGTAAAATTCTGGATATTGAACCCACACACTTTATCTCATTTAATCACTATTACAACCCAAGATGAAGAAACAAGTACTATCTATTTTTTAGAGGAGGAAACAGCTTGTAGAGGTGATATTACTTCTCCATCAAGTGGCTGCTGGAAGGACCTCAGAGAGGCCACACGTGAAAAGCTGGAGGCCTAAGGAGAAGGGGCTTCCCTAGGATCTGTGATCTCAGAGGTTAAGTCCTGGGCATCCAGTAAAATTCCTTCTGAAATTGAGGCTGTGCTGTCTTTGGAGGAGGTACTGAAAAAGCTGAAAAACAAGGCAAGCATCACCTCCTTCTAGGGGTGTCACTCCGCCAGGGCCACCAACCTCCATGCTGCTGGAGGACTGACCACAGGCTAGGAAAAAAGGGTGCATTTTTGTGTTTTTTTCAGCCTGTTCTCCAGCATCTCCCCAGTGCTTCATTTTCTCCAGTCTCACATTACAAAGAACCTTCCATCCTAAAATACTAGTCACTTCTCACTTCTCTGTCAGCCTCTCTGGAGCAGGCCGGGGAAGATTCTGGTGGTGACAGGACACCACTACACCTTTCTACAGAGGCCATTGTGGCACTTCATACTGCTTAACACCCTACCCTTCCTTCTGGTGAGTGAAAAGGAGGTGGACATAGAGAGGCTGCTTCTTTCACCTTCCTGCCTTCACTGCCCTGCTGGGGCCTCAGGAAGGCGCTGAGGGAGATGATGGATTTAGAAATGTGGATACAGCGGGTCCCTTGTAAGGCTCGCATTAGCCTCTGAATTCTAGAAACACTTTACCTAGTAAGCTGGTGTGAGCTCACAAGCTAAGTGTCCCCGCCTGCAATGAATAATGTCAGCATTCATCCCTGCCAGCTAGGAGCCCGTGAATGCGCCATTCAGATGTCACAAAGCCCCTCCCCCACCAGCTGCACCCAAGTCCAGTGCAGGCACGTTCCTGGGCTTCAGGGGAGGGAGGTGTAGCCAGTGAAAGCAGACGGTGTGGCAGGCGCCGGGCCAAGAGCTTTATAACCCGGATCTTATTTAATTCTTAAAACAGACTTGTTGGACCATTACTTCTGTAGATGACGGAGGCTGGGAGACATGGGTACCTGGCCAGACTCTCATCACATTTGCTGGAGCAAAAAAACCCCCTATATTTTAAACACAGGTTGAGTCACTTCTAGAACCTGTGTCCAGCTGTTCAACTCTCCTGCAGACTAAGAGCAGGCATCCAGGAATGACAGTGTGGGATTTGAACCTAGCCCCTGTCACTTTTTAGCCATGAGACCGTGATCAAGTTAGCTACCATTCTCTTCCTTGACTTTTTCACCTGTAACATGTGGATAGGATAGGAATGTACCAATACCATAGGGTTCTTGTTCGAAGTATTAAATAAATCAGTATCTCTAAAGCACTTAGTGGCTGGCTCATAGAACACACTGCTCAAATGCTAGCTGTTATTATTTATTTATCTATAACGCTCTTTCCTCCCCCCTGGATGATGGAAACTTAACCTCGGTGGTTTCAGTTTCTCCAGTCTCCCACTTCCCCATTTGTTGTTGT